TAAATTATGCAAGAACAAGTCCAGCTTGCCTCGTTATGGATTCCGGGAGAAATTAACATTGGATGGAGCAAAAAGACAACATTATATTGGAGGGAAGAGTGAAAAGCCTTTATTTCATTGGCTGACATTGACTGACGTATGTTAATAAGAAAGGTCGGAATCCTAGTCGTATGTTTTTTCCTTTGCAGTGTCGAGTTGCGTAGCACGACGCTATGAAGGAAGCGAACTGACCCTCCTAGAATCAGGTTGGAGTTGCTGTTTGAGCCGATATGATACAAAACCCAAAATCGGCGATGAAGGCAGGTAATTATTAAAGTGCACCCTTGATGCATCTGAAATTTATTATGCAACTAGCAATACATTTTTGAAGAAAATATTATTACCAGCAATACATTATTACCAGCAAAATATTTTTGAAAAAAAAAAAAAAAAAAAACTATTACCAGCTATACATTTTTTGAAAAAATATTACGAGCAATAGATTTTTGAAGAAAAAAAATATTACCAGAAATAGATTTTTGATGAAAAAAATATTACCAGCAGCACATTTTTGAAAAAAAAAAAGAAAAATATTATCAACAATAGATTTTTGAAGAAAAAAATATTACCAGAAATAGATTTTTGAAGAAAAAAAATATTACCAGAAATAGATTTTTTGAAGGAAAAAAATATTACCAGCAGCACATTTTTGAAAAAGAAAGAAACAATTTTTACCAGCAATAGATTTTTGAAGAAAAAAATATTACCAGAAATAGATTTTCGAAGGAAAAATATTACCAGCAGTACATTAAAAAAAACCAAAAAACAAAAAAAAAAAAATATTACCAGCAATAGATTTTTGAAGAAAAAAAATATATTACTAGAAATAGATCTTTGAAGGAAAAAATATTACCAGCAGTACATTTTTGAAAACGAAAGAAAAAAATTTACCAGCACTAAACAATTTGTTGTCATTAAATAAACCATTTAGGTTGATACGCCGTAAAACCAAACCAAACTAAACTAATTTTAGACATAAGCATGTTAAATTTTAACTATGATGACTATTCGGAGGGATTTCAAATTTTTCTTTGTAAAAATTGTTATTGAAATTAAAATGACAGATTGGCCCAGTTTACATATATTGATAATAGTATCAAGGAAAAGATCTAAAGTTACATTTAATTTTTTTAGATGATTTAAAAAAAAAATAAATTTAAAATTCATTAGTTATTAAGCCCACACGTCATTTTTCTTCTCTCTTTACGGTCATATACACACGCACACCTGCGCCTGCGTGTACCCACATGCGTGTTCACATTTGTATGTAAATTTATTATGCAAGATCGGTTAAATTTGAAATAGCAGAAGTGGGATGGGATGTAAAGGAAGGAGAAAAAGTCTTGATTAAGGGGTTGGGTAAGGGGAAGGTGTTAGTAATAAAAAAGAAAAGAAAGAAAGAAAAAACATAAAGAATAAGAACAAGAAAAGCTGATATATATATATATATATATATATATATATATATATATATATATATATACCTGGCTCATGTCAGAGGGTATCCTCCAGACGAAGTTCTGCCGTTTTTACGTGGTCTGTAGGGAATTTTTGCCCCAGCCTACGAGCTCGGATACCCCACTTTAAACTCGGCCTTGTGCCACATCTTGCTGCGTGGGGCAGCGGGTAAATAATTATACATACATATGTACACGAATAGATAAACATATATATATATATATATATATATATATATATATATATATATATATATATATATATTTTTAATTTATTGCTTCAACGCTATTTTTAATGGATATCCATATTTGAGTAGGTTGTTCTGTACATATTCATTTATTAAACAGTATATTTATTTATTTATTTATTTCCATCTCTCGGCCTGAATATTCGAGAAATCTTGCCAAAGAGCGCATATTATTCTAACAAGATTTACCTAATATCCACGCCTAGAGATGGAAATAAATCAACTGTGTAATAAATAAATAAAAACAGAACATCTATTAAATATGGATATCCATTAAAAATGACCTTAAATTAAAATGTCGGATTAATAAATGAAAAATGCATGGATACATACATACATACATACATACATACACACATATATATATATATATATATATATATATATATATATATATATATAAGCACTTACAAATACATACACACACAACTCATTTTTCCGTTTTTGATCTGATGAAGACTAAACGGTGAAATGCATAATCAGATGTATTTCCAAACATTCTTTCATGAACGTTTTACAATTGTCAATAATTTGAAACTATGTCGGAATTATATAGCATATTTTAACACACACACACATATATATATATATATATATAATTATCACTCTTTCCCTATATATATATATATATATATATATATATATATATATATATATATATATATAGGTGTGTGTGTATATAATTCTCTCTCTCTATATATATATAGAGAGAGAGAGAAAGAGAGAGAGAATTTTAAATATATATATATATACATATACTTTATAGTAGCTACTCGTACAACGTTTGACATAATAAAAATGTCAGATTTAAAAAATTAAACCCTTTAATTATTTAGAAATACAAACACACACAGACACACACACACACACACACACACACACACATATATATATATATATATATATATATATATATATATAAAGAGAGAGAGAGAGTAAGTGACAGAAAGCCAGAGAAAGCGAGAACGGAGTGTAGGTAAGACAAACGACTGGAGAAAAAGAATAACGAAAAAGCCAAGTAAAATTGTATGAAAAAAAAAGAAATAAACAAACGACAGAAAAGATGAAAGGGAGGAAAAGGAAGAAAAGGAAAGTAAAACGGGAAAAGAGAAAGAATGAACGAAATCGAGATGAATAAATAGAAATCAATAAAGAATGAGAAAAGCTAAAGAAAGGAACGAAGAAAAGAAAGAGAAAAGCAAAGAAGAACGGAAAGAAGAAAAGAAAGAGGAAAGCAAAGAAGAACGGAAAGAAGAAAAAGAAAGAAGAAAAAGAAAGAAGAAAGCAAAGAAGAACGGAAAGAAGAAAAGAAAGAAGAAAGAAAAGAATGAAGGAAAGAAGAAAAGAAAGAAGAAAGAAATGAATAAAGGAAAGAAGAAAAGAAAGAAGAAAGAAATGAATAAAGGAAAGAAGAAAGCAATTAAATAAAGAAAGCAAAGCAAATGAAAGAAGAAAGGAAAGAGAAAAAAAAGAAAGAAATTAGGCAAGGTAGCCTGTGTGTTTGTTAGTGTGTGTTAGATTTCTTGGTCACACACAACAAATATTCATTATGCGCACGCGTGTATGCATATGGCTGGTCTTTTGTTTAACCGCAATCGCTTCAGGCACAGGCTTTCCTTTCTTTCTGTGACCGTGCCCCCCCCTCTCTGCTCTTTACGGTGCACGTAATCACAAATAAAAAGCGCCACCAACCCCCATGGTTATTGCAGATTTTATTCAAGATTGGACACTAAACAATGGGGCGGAGTTTATTTGAATGTCGCGATTTTTTTATTGTCGTATTGATTTCATAATAAGGCTCACTGATCTGGCAACGAAAAAAATATAAAAAATATAAAAAAAAAAAAAAAAAAGATAATAAAAAGAAAATTCTTTGGTTAGTATACAGTCCATTCTACTTTATATTGCTTCCCTTAATTCATTAAAAATCACTAACTAAAATAAAGAAGAGAGAAATAAATGATTATTTTATTATTTTTTTTACGTCTTATCAACTTTTTGAAAGTTATTTAAAGCCAGAAAATATTTTATGATTATAATATTTTTTACATAATAATGTTTTTCGGATATAAGTCCTACTAATTACACCAGGTCGGAGAGAGAATTGTTATTTGAATCTTTCTGAGCAGAGTCTGGGAATTCCTCCTCTCTGATAATCTTAAGAGGGTCTTCTTTAAGGCCACGGTAGAATGTGTCTTGCTCTACGGCTCAACGGCATGAGCACAGACGAAACACCAAGAATCATGACTTGACGGAACATACACGAGAATGTTAAGAGTTGCATTGGACATTAACTACAAGAAACATTCAACAAAGAAACGCCTGTATGGACATCTTCCTCCTGTCTCAGTTTTGCTAACAGAGAGAAGGATTCGGCTAGCTGGTTACTTCTGGAGAAGTAAGTCAGAACTTGTGAGTGACGCCCTCCTATGGAACCCATTGACTAACTTGTAGATGACTCTTGATGCCATTTGGAGGACCTGCCAACAGTGATGTCTGACAGAGATGGTTGAAGGGAATAAGTCAAGAGAATCCAAGAAGAATTCTCGACCTGATATGATATATACATCCTTGTGCAAATTAATTGAAACACCTGCTTTAGTTTCCTTTCTTTCACCATACGGTCAGTTTTAGACCCATTGAAGTGACAAGGTGTAATCGATTTCTATTTTTATCTCGGATTAGGTCATTTGCAGTGGTGTGCAGTAATATGAACATATTTTCGGGGTGTATGATGAAATTTGTTTGGCCTTGAAAAATAATACGTCATCCGTGATAGCATCAGATTTTCATCACGCTATTGTCTCGACTGTCGATTAATTGTCTTACGGCTTTTGTCTACGATGCTCGTTACTCCAAAAGAGCGTACGAAAATTGTAACGCTGCACGAACACACTGGCAAAGCCTTACCAGTGAGCAAATTAAAGTACTATCGACTGGCTCTGAAACTCTCCTGATTTAAATTCAATCGAGAATCTGTGATTAATCTGCAAGGAACGACTTGGTGGAATGGACATACGAAGTACTAACATGTGCACTGGGTCAAGTTTCATTGGAAAAATACGAAAAAAAAAGTAAATAATAACAGAATTATTCGTTTTGTTTCAATTAATTTGCATCATGGTGTATATGGAAGGGGAGTGTGTGGATTCTTAAATTTCCCAAATTAATATAAGGAATCTGACTGGCATTGGAACTCGACTCCCCGATGTCCAATTCCGAGCCGTTAAAAATACACCACCCGCACATCCAAGCTTTCAGCTTCTGCTATTCCCAAGCGGTCACCCATTTATGTACTGACCATGATTGACGTTGCTTAATATCGGTGATCGTACGAGAACCGGTGTTTCAATGTGGCCGTAAACTAAGAGAGAAAGAGAGAAGAATTAAAAAAAGAAACCAAAAAAAAGTTAAAAGAAAATGAGAAATGACGAAGAAAGAACAGAAACACACAGAAAAAGAAAAAAAAGGAATAAATAAGGAATGAAAAAAAAGAGAAAAAGAAAAAAGTCACGTACAGAAAAAACGGAAAATTATAGAATTTGATAATAGTTCACTATATAGGTAGAATTCTTAAAATACATCTGATAAAAATTTCATTCGTTCTACTGATTATATCAAGTATGACAGACCAACTAATGAACGATAAAAAACAATAGGTAATTATTTTACTATGAAAATACATTGGAATTATATATTAAACAAATTTTGTCTAAGATTCAGTTCCATGTACTGATCGCAACGAAAGTGACACTGCAAATATTAAATTCCTAAAATGAAATTCATTGGAAATTACTGTGAAATTTCATTGCAAATATATATTAAACAAATCCATCAAAACTTTCATTCATTCTTATGATGACATCACAAATGCTAAAAGCAGAGATAGAAATTTATTGGAAATTATTTTATTATATAAATACATTTCCGTGATTTATTTAAAAAGGCCAATTAAAATTTTTTTTTTTTAATTTTATTTTAGTGATCACACAGATTATGGCGCTGCAGATCCTAAAGGCAGGGATTGAAGTTCATTGGAAATTATTTTTGCTATACGGATGAATTTTTTTAATCGCTATCACCACAAGGAAGCCAGTACAGCCACTAGCGCGTAAGAGGTTTACAATTGCTTAAATATTGTCGAAAAGCGACGCAGACGACTACGTAACTTTAGCGGTATAGGTAAATCGCGAACGTTAGAAATTTTAGCTTCAACCATTCACTGAAGATCAATTTAAATGTCTCATCTTTATCGCTGGCTTTCAGACTCCACACAACACCGATGTGTTCACAACGGTTATTATACACAGCGGAAAAGGATAAAGACGCCACAGAAAAAGCGCTCACGACCGAATGCCAGATACTTATGATAATTTAAAAAATGACACCATGATGGCTTAATATCAGCTGTCGCTTTAAAAACACGTCTCCAACCAGCAGTGTTCGAGGAAAGGAAAAGCCGTTAAACGTAGCAACAAAAATTCCTCCTGCACGTGAATGGCAGTATGCAATACTTCTGTCCGACCAAGAAACAAGAATATCAATTATATCACAAACGAAGAGATAAGGAACATTTTTGTCGCCATACGGAAGCCAAATCTTAAAATCAATTTCAAAAACAAGTTTCAAATTCAATTCGGATAAAAAAAAAAATTCGCGAAAATGGCCCATCGAAAGCGGTTAAACGCAAATTCTATGTCTGTAACTTTCAAAGTTGATTTCAAATCTCGCAGAACATGTATTACCGTTTCTGTCAAGGTTCCAATCCGTTTTCAGCTTGGCATAGCTTGAGATATTGTTTTGTTCTTATGATCCACGTGGAACAAATTGACAAGCTTGAGTTGTTGAAACAAATCACATACACCAGAGTGTGTCCGGTAACGAAATTCTACTTACTCGTGAGTTGAATTGCATTTTCATTTTAGGAGAAATACTTTATGATACATATTACACTACAGACTCTGATCTAAATTCGATTGGTTTAGATTGGTTGGATAAGCTTGATCTCTTCAGTGTTACGCTCAATTCTGTTTCTAACACATTTTCACTTTCCTCTGTTTCCAATTCCAGTGATGCTTTTCAAGAGAATCTTGGGTGCTGCAAGAAGGTCAAAGACACCCTAAAGTGAAAACCAAACGCTGAGTTGGTCTTTGGCCCGAAACGCCCTGTCCCTTATACCGCTCTTAAAATGGTAGAAAAAGAATTGGATCGCCTTCAGCAAGCGTGAGTAATCAATCCAACAAATTACCCTGCGTGGGCAGCGCCCATTGTCGTTGAGAAGAAGGCAAATAGAAAAGTCTATATATGTGAAGATTATTCCACTGGGTTAAACAACTCTTTAGATTCACATCAATAGCTATTAGCAATACCAGAAAACCCTTTTGCAACGCAAAAGTTGTTTTGGCAGAATTGATTTTTAGATGCTTTTCTATAAATTGACGTTGATGAGGACTCCAAGGAGCTCCTTACAATCTATACCCATAAGGGTTTATATAGATATAAGCGACTTCCTTTTAGTGGCAAATCAACGTCAGCTATATTGTAGCAAACGATGGATGTCATGCTGACGGGCTTGACAGGAACCGTAGCATTCATTGATCACATCATTGTTGCAAGTACAACCCAGAACAAACTTTTGAAACGTCGATTTTCTGTTATGAAACGGATTCAGCAATATGGTTATCATGCGAGAGCAGGAAAAGGTCAGTTTTTTTTCCGGATGTTGATTAAATTCCGTGGGTTATTTTTGATGAGAATAGTCGACAACAAGATCCTGAAAAAGTTTCTCCCATCAAAAATATGCGACACCAGCAAATATTTTGGCATTACGCTCTCTTCTGGGTTTGGTACGGTATTACAGGTTCTTTTCGTCAGAACCACAGTATTCGGCCTCCTACTGAATCACCTTCTGAAAAAGGATGTCCCATGGAAATGGTGAACAGATTGTCAGTCTGTTTTAACCAAAGTCAAATGTTTATTTACTTCGGACTTGCTTTTTACTCAATATAATCCATCTTTTGACATCGTGGCTTCAGTTGCTTCTGGCTATGGCTTTGCAGCCGGGATCTCCGAATATATCTATATCTATCTATCTATATATATATATATGATAAAAATATGGTTAAAAATGTTGCTATATTCATGGGCTAAATGCTAATATCAGGGATAGTGTATATTTAAATATAAAAGTCATCACTGAGTTCAACATGTATATATGTATGTATATATATATGTGTGTGTGTGTATGTGTGCAGGTGATGTTCGATTCATATATATATATATATATATATATATATATATATATATATATATATATATATATATATATATATGACCGAGAGTTTGGGAAAATGTTTCCTGCTCGAAGTATATATAAGTATATATATATTTCTAAAGAATTATTGAATGCCATTTATTTAATCAGACATTTTTATTAAATCAAATGTTATTCTAATAGACACTCGTATTGGAAATAGACGCCCCATTTTTTATGCTAAACACTGAGCAATATATCTATTGGCCTGCTCATTTTGTATGATGTGTATTGGTTTATAGCGAAAACATTTTCATCGTTGATGAAGATTCTACCTTCTAAAGATTCGGTAGAAAGTCAACACTTCAACGACGAGCACAGGGCAAGACCTTGATTTAGCTGCGAAACATTCAGATTATGAGGAACACATTGACTACTTTTAGCACGGAGTAAGACTTTGATTAAGCTTTGTAACAGTCAGATGATGATAGATCCATAGGTCAGGTTTACCACAGGGAAGGACTTTGATGAAGATGGGAGACAGTAAGGTGACGAGGGTCCATTGACCTGCGTTAGCAGAGGGGAAAATTTGATCAATCTACGAAACAGTCAGATGATACGAGACCCGTTGTTAATGTTTAGCAGAGGACACGACTTTGATCAATCTACGAAACAGTCAGATTATGAGGGATACATTGTCAATGTTTAGCTCAGAGCAAGACTGATCAATCTACGAAACACTCAGATGATTCGGGACCCATTGACCGGATTTAGCAGAGGGCACGACTATAATCAATCTACGAAACCGTCAGATGATGAGGGACCCATTGTCAATGTCTAGCATAGGGGAAGACTAATCAATCTACGGAACCGTCAGATGATGTGGGACATATTGTCAATGCTTAGTCCAGGGCAAGACTGATAAATCTACGAAACACTCAGTTGATGTGGGACCCATTGACTGGCTTTAGCAGAGGACACGACCTTGATCAATCTACGAAAGAAGTCAGATGATGAGGGGTCTATTGTCAAGGTGTAGTAGAGGGCAACAATTTGATCAGCCTACGAAACACTCAAATGATTCGGGACGCATTGACCGGCTTTAGCAAAGGACGACCTTGATCAATGCCCGAAACAGGCAAATGATGAGGGGCCCATTGTCAATGTTTAGTACAGGGCAAGACTTGATCAATCTACGAAACACTCAGATGGTGCGGGACCCATTGATCGACTTTAGAAAAAATTTTTTATGTACGTAGGTTAAATATTGCCAAACATTATTTTCAACTCATACATGTAGGAAATAAGTAGATGTTAACATTTCCATAGTAAATCCAACATAAATTCAAAATTGGATCGTACAGAGAGAACATTTATATTTTAGCATTTCCAGCACACAGAAGAATTTGTAATAGCCCACATTTCTATGATGCAAGAAGTTAAATGTCGATCAAAAAAAAACTTTGAAAGAAGTCGAAAAGATTAAATAAGCATTTAAAAGCGGAACTTTGTTACATTTTCTCGGTAAGTAATTTAAGCATGATTCGCCACTCCCCATATCTGCAGTGGCTAGCAATCAAGAAGAAAGGGATTTTCAGCACGCAATGACAATTCGAGCGTTATAGACAGAATCAGAACAGCATAGATATATTACGAACGAAAGTATCTTATTTTTATGTGCTGTGTCCTTTCAGGGCGTAGGTGATCATGGCTCTCCACCTCGTTCATCCCTTGCGGCCCTCAGCTTCCTCCCCCAAACCACATTCTGTCATCCTCCTGCTCAATCTCGTCAGGTATGTCACGCGCTGCTTTCCTTTGTCTCCCTTTCCCTCTATTCAACCCATGAGTATCAGATTCTCCAGGCCCTCTTTCCTCATCATGTGTCTAGAAACTTCAACTGCCTCTTTCTGATGTTCTCCTTGTTTGCAACCTCTCTAAGACCTCATCGTTGCTCACACGCTAGATCCATAATATCCTCAGTATCCTTCTGTAGAACCACATCTCCGTCGCCTCTAATCTCATCTTTATCTTTGAGAAGACTGTCCAACATTCGTTGCCGTAAACAAGAACAGATGTCACGTAACTGCTCAGTATTCTTTTCTTTG